ATATTCAATATGTTTTAATATGAAGTAGATCCTAATTCATGGCATTGTTATGTCTCATCAATTACAGAACATTAAAAAATATTAATACAAGTTGAAGTATTTTTTTTTCTCAGTCATACACCGTATTAGCTATAATTGTGAAATCAGTACTATATTTGTTTTACAGAAAATAAATAATCTCAATTTTAAGAAACATCAAGTCGATATGCATTTCAGATTCTATAAATAGTAACTCAAGTCTTTATGCTGTTATATACTTAATCATGTGATCAAGTTTAATCCAATCAGAGAGCTGGAATAAATGATAAAAATGATATTACACTGTATATGTAAAACAGATATGATTTCAAGCATAAACAAGCATAAAACATGACTTACATAGAAGAGAAACCAAAGCTATCGATATAGAAATGACGGACAGAATCTTTAGAACGGAGTAAAGTAATAATAGATTTACGAGAATTATATATACATACGCAATGTAGTTTAAACTTTTTGGTCTTTTTCCATGAAGTTGAAGCGTTACAATTGTTGAAGGATCTGTGTGCTATAATTTAATGTCTGTGTATGTTGTTGAACACGTCTTCTTAAACATTTTTTTTTAAAAAAGAAATATCACAAATATATGTTTAGTATATTTTTTATATTTTTCTTTGATTCTTCCAAGAATTTTCATCAGTTGATATCTTTCAAAAAACCTAAGACTAAGTACTCAATGGTCACCCCATGTTTTGAAATATGAGTGAAAACGACATTGTGTAAGAATATCTAAACAATTATTTTTTAAAAATCAGAAATTGCAGTTATCCACGTTTGTCTGAAATTCAAACAGATAATGAAACATGAATCCATTGCTTTATTACCCTAAATTTAAAACATTTTTACAATAAGATGCACTTGACAAAAACAGCAAAGGTCTGAAAAGAGCAAAGAATTACAAGAGGACAAAGACAGCTTTTTGCCATTTTTCTCAAATATTAATGGTCTTGTTCAAATTCTTATTCGGGAAGATAGTTCAATTTCTGTTGGAGTCTTAAAAGCAATTTTTTGCAAAAAATCAAAAGGATTTTGAGAATAAGGAACTATAATCAGGAATCCACTACATTCAATTTCTTCATGATAAGGTCCAAACCAATTTCAAATTATTTATTGAACAGCCCTCGAATGATGGCAACAGATAGATTTCTTTTACTAAGTCCAATAATTACTTTCTAGAAACATAGAATTAACTATGCTTTAGGACATGATTTTTATATACATATTGTTGCGATGCATGTTTCAGTTTCAGTTTGGTATTATGTTAATACTCCACATTTCTGAATTTTCTATGTTTAAAGTTATGAGCATGAAGTTAGACTTACGCGTGTTTCCGCCTCCTGCCTTACATGGAACCCCTGTCTAGCAGAAAACCCATCCTATCTATACTATATATACTGCTAACTGAAGTCAAAAGTTCATGTAAATGACACATTGTAACTGGTCAACATCAATTGTATTATCTTATATAACTTGTCGCCTTCGATAACCATGTATAATGCTATTTCCAAATTCCCACGCAGAAAAAGAAATTATCTTAACATCTTAAAGACGTACAACACACTGGGGGAGATAACTCTTGCGATTTCAATTGAACGTTTGACGTGACGTCAAGTTTAACGTCAAAAATAAAGCGTCAAAACGACGAGTAAAATGATCCCGATGTATATCAATCATTAAAGAAAATTGGGATATGGGGCTTGCCTGTGATTGTGCGTACCATACTCAATCAATAAGTATTTTTTTAATTAACCCGATTAAACTCCGTAAAAAGCAAGACATAAAATACCATCCCTTAATGTTTATTTCATTTCATATGTACAATAAATTGTATCAAAGCGCAGCATTTTTTTTATTCTGAAAATTTTATTTTACATTGCCGAAATTCTCATTTTGTACAATTGGCTATATAACATTCCGATTAATGGTCTTCATTACAATTTGTGCATACACGATATAAATATTGTTTTTCTTTTTTAATTAAATAAAACAACAGTAAATAAACAATAAACTTTTTACAATGTAAAATCGATGTTGTTCTCAGACCCTTACTGATCAAAGAGGAACAACTCTGAAAATGTAGGAGATGTTTATTTTCCTCCCTTTAGTCACGGTTTTCCACAGAATCAGATACATTTACAGCAAGACCTGATAAATCCGAGAATTGAATATTATAGACCTCATCTACACAATGTAAGTATAGAATTGAAAAGAATTGTTCACTTGTACTGAAATATGCATGAATTTATGAATATCCTATCGCAGCAAATCGTAACTTTGACTTTCTGTCAACAATGTCGGTTCGCATTTCCTCGAATCAAAAAAAAAAGTAGCCTATAAGATTTTAAAAAATATCAATGTGGGATCTGATATAAATTGAAATAGATGAAGAGTTAATGTTTGATATTTTGAAGTTAATGTGGACGAATACGGAATTTTCATTTTAACTTTAGAAGCGACGACATTGAAAGAAATGCGTACATCTAATGCAAATGTCGATGTATCCCCACGGCCAAATACTGTCTCGTTTGAAATTATGACATGAAAGAAACTACAATTATTCCATTTATATCACAGGAGAGTTGAACATACACCATTTTTATAATGAATAAAATTAAAGAAATAAAATTAAAAATCAACATATTCAAGTTCAACAAAACTTGAATTCGTATCCAGGTTTGATGTGATATGGAATGCATAACGCATACGTATATGGACTAAACACTAAAATCTTTCAGTAATTTTTTTCCTGATACATATAAAAAGAGTAGTCAATCATTCTGCATTCATGAATTTGAAAACTAATGCATAGCTCCGGGATTCTTGACGAAATACCAGTATATTTGCACTGTAAACGACGTTTCGTCAAACGCTAATGGTCTGCGACGCAAAAAAGGAAGGGGTGGGGGTGGTAGGGATATTCAAAAATTGCCCAAAAATCTACATTTAAATACGCTTTACATATGAGAACTTTTAAATTTGTAAGTTAATATATTTTTGAAGCAAAAGCAATATTCCAATTTAATTTTTTTAATGTGTATTTGTAGATTCATATAACAAAGTGATCGACCCCCGTCTGAAAGATGCGCGGGAACGTGATTTATTGAGAAAGGGGGAGGGAGTAATTTTCCGCTATTAAATCAAAACTGGTCGTACAAAAATTATACAAAAAATTATGAAGATTATTTTTACTACCAGCTACCTAAAGAAAGTTTTTTACCAAAATTAAACGACAGGTTTTTTCACAAAAAAATTTTGAATTTGAAAAATACGCAATTTTCAAGGCTTAGAAAATTCATAGTTTTTCAGTTTAAGGTCTTTAAAAATTGTTTTGATGATATGTATATCAAAAAGATGACTATGTTTTTGTGTTAAATGGTTAAAAGAATAAGCCAATGAAATTTGACACTTATATCTAACCTGGTTTTATTGAAAATCAAGGTTTAAGTAGTTCATTGATATAAAATTTTCTCTCCTTGTAAACAACTAAAGGGGGGTAACTTTCGGAAGTTCCTGTTCAAAAACCACTCGAACGATTTTGTCCAAAATATGCATACATGCAGTAGATATAGTCATGTACTAAATATACAAAAATAACGAAAATTAAACGACAGGAATTTTTTTGGGTAGGTGTGTTGTACATCCTTAATTAGTAATTATGGCATTTTGACAGCGTTATGTGTAACATGCAGTTTCAATATTTATAGTCAAAATATATGATTATCGAAGGCGACACGTAAGACATTATACAAAATATAAGAATAAAATACAATAGATTTCGACCAGTTAAAATGTGTCAACATGTACCTTTGAATAAATTTTGAAAAACCATTAACGCATTTCAAATATATATATATATATATATATATATATATATATATATATATATATATATATATATATATATATATATATTTATATATATATATATATATAGATAGATCCAAGTAAAATCACAGTGGTCGGTGATAAATATGAAAATTATTTTAAATAAATAAAAACACAGAGAACGAGTAAAACATAAGCGCTTGGTAATACCATGAGTATTGTAAAACATCATGAAGAAGAAATGAAAGCGCTTATGTTTTACTCGTTCTGGGTGTTTTTATTTATTTAAAATAATTTTCATATATATATATATATATATATATATATATATATATATATATATATATATATATATATATATATATATATATATATATATATATATATATAAAATCCAAATTCAAATGATAAACTCAAACTTTTATCTAAAGAGGTAATTTTTCTGGACCAAATAAACCAAACTACAAGAACGTGGGGCGAAATGAACACCGTGTAAATTCTTTTACCAAAAGAAATAACGGAGCACAAACAAATATCAACAAGGAAAACGTCCAGTGGAAAAAACCTTGGAACAACAAACAGCAAAACAAAATGAGCAACAACATTTCTAATAACAGAAATATGAACCAGCAATATGAAGGGAGTAATTCTTTTTTAGGGAAGGGCCACTTTCGCAAACATCGCATGAAAAAATTCCTCTTCCAATACCTGTAGAAAAAACATCTAAAGTCGACCCCAAAATTATAAATCTATCTCAAAGGAATTTTTCTACGGATGAAATAGAACTACTCAAAAGGGGCCTAAAATTTACTCCTACGCCTAAAAAAGACGACGTAGATGTAATCAAAGACACAGAAGAATTTTGTCGGAAGCTAAGACTCCGGGAATTCTTCCAGAATTCGGATTACAATGACGAATCCTTAGTTCGAAACAAAAGTAATTTTAAACCAAAATCAAACAGGGACAAACACTTGGACGATTACATTAATTGTTTGAAAAAATCTGCATACAACAATCACAGCGATATCCGTGTGCGAGATAACATCTCAAAAATTGAGAGAACAGCACTGAAAAATATTACTGGTGACGATACTATTATCATAAAAGAGGCTGACAAAGGAGGAACTATTGTTATTATGGACAAAGAACACTACAAAGATATGGTCCTAGAACAACTAGATGATATAAACTTTTACAAGGAACTACCTTCGAATGAAGACAAGAAGACGATGTCTACAATGAAAAAATATACTTCAAAATTTTCCCATAATTTAACCAAAAAGGAGATAGATTTTCTTCTCAATTTTGAAGTAAAAACTAGTAACTTTTACGGATTACCGAAAATTCATAAATCTAAACAAATTCAAAACGGAATACAGGAAATGAGTGAACCTTATATTAAATTGCCACGTCCAACAGACTTAAAACTACGCCCTATTGTAGCTGGTCCTTCTTGTCCAACACAGAGACTTAGCAATTTGCTAGATATTATACTAAAACCTTTCTGCAAATTAGTACCCAGTTTTATTCGGGACGACATGGATTTTCTCAACCATATTCCAGAAAGTATTGAAGAAAATACGAAATTAGTGAGTTTTGATGTTACTAGTTTATATACAAATATTCCCCACAATTTAGGACTAGAAGCCATCTCCTTTTGGATTGACAAGCACCCAGATGTAATCCAGCCGAGATTTTCAAAAGAATTTATCCTCGAAGGACTTAAAATAGTTTTGCAAAATAATCATTTCTTTTTTGATGACAAGTACTATCTACAAACAAAAGGGACAGCAATGGGGACAAAAGTCGCCCCTACCTACGCAACTCTCGTTCTAGGTTTTCTGGAGGAAAAACTTTTTTCGGAATGCAAAACATTTTTTGGAGAGGATTTTGATACATACATTGAAAGAAACTGGAAACGTTATTTAGATGACTGTTTTATTTTTTGGACAAAATCTCTACAAGATCTACAACAGTTTAACAGCATTCTAAATCGGCTCCATGAAAGTATGCATTTTACAATGGAAATCAGTGAAAACAAATTGCCATTTTTAGACATTCTTATTATAAAAGAGGGAAGAAAAATCATAACGGATCTCTATTACAAGAGCACAGACTCCCATCAATATTTGATTTTCAACTCATGCCATCCCTCCCATACTAAACGAAACATCCCATTCAATATGGCCAGGCGAATTTGTACTATTGTTATTGATGAGGATCGCAGAAATACAAGACTGTGTGAACTAAGAATTTTTCTTTCTAGACAAAAATATCCATCAAAATTAATTGAGGCTGCTATACAAAAGGCAAAGGAAATACCCATTAACGAATTACGTACTATTAGACATCACGAAGAGGAGAACAACGAAAAGATCCCTTTTGTTCTAACCCACAACCCAAGAAATCACAACATCTTTAAAACTGCCAAACAATTTTTCCCTATTATTCAACAATCAGAAACATTAAGGGACCTTATTAAACCAAAGGATATACTACACAGCAGGCGTCAACCTCCCAATTTGAAAAAGATTCTTACCACTGCCAAATTTACATCGAACCCCGAGAAACCGATGGTTTCTAAGTGCGTTGGATCCACGATGCGGAACCTGTCAAGTCAAGTTTAAAAACCGGACAAACCATTATTTTTAAAAACGGAATGAAGTTTGACGTTAAATCTTCTATGACGTGTAAATCTAAAAACCTTATATACTGTATGACGTGTCCTACATGTGAGGAAAATTATATAGGACAAACCGGAACCAAATTAGCCGACCGTGTTCGCGTGCACAAACAACAGATTAAGGATCCGACCATACGAAACACGCCATGTAGTGAACACTTTGATTCTTGTGGCAAAGGACATTTTTATATATTTCCTTTTTACAAAATAAAAGAGGAAAATGAACAATTACGGAAAGCCAAAGAACAATATTTTATAAATCTGTTTAAACCAAAATTGAACTGTTAAAAGGAATTTATATCAAATTATTTTATTATGTACATTTTATATAAAATGTCTCCATTATTGTACATTTATAATAGGCGCTTAAGTTTGATCAGATGAACTGTAAAACTTTATCTGTGCGCCTCATTTAACTGTGATTACTATGAAAAGAGTACAGCATTTCACACGTCATCATTATGTTTAACGTTGCCTACATAACGTCACGAGAATGACGTCATAATGTAACTTGTTTACAATTTCAAATCTACTGATGAGCCCGCATGGGGCGAAAACGCTTTAGATAAAAGTTTGAGTTTATCATTTGAATTTGGATTTTATTTTATCCCTATACCAAGGAAAAATAATTTTTTGAATATATATATATATATATATATATATATATATATATATATATATATATATAAATATATATATTCATACAATATTTATAAAAAAAATATAATGGAAATATTGATAATGGTTCCTTTGACAGGAAGTTAGAATGATCTTTTAGTGATGGATTACTTAATTCATCATTTCATGACACCTGTCCCTAGTGATGGAAGACAATTTGAAAGATCATTTATGCCAGTGACAAAAATATAGGGTTCCGTAGCACTAAGAATCATGTTTTCTTCATGTAACACTTTTGTCCCGTCGAATAAGATATCTCAAAAACCTAGGTTATAACTTATTTTTTGAAACAAGGTTTACCATTTACCTGTTACCTACATTTCACGATGTCCAAGAAATTGTTTTGAAAAGCCAAAGGTTGCTTACTGTAAGTAATCCTTATTTATACGATTTCATAGTCAAGATTCAATTCCAGATAAATACTACTCTTAGCAATAACTATGACGTGCTTTCCAATTGTCTGACTCATTCGTTTGATAGCACAGAAGAAGTAAATCAATGTGTTGAAAATTTTAGTAAAACTTTATGTGATTTGATTCTGCCATACTGTAAAATTATACAGAGTAAAAGCTCTATTAAAATAAATAGAAATATTAATTCAAAACATACTGAAGATAAACCATGGTTTAATGAAGAGTGTGAGACAAAGTACATAGAATAAACAGCGAACACAGAGAGAACCATATGCAAGTATTTATAAAACGCAAATTTTATTAAAATCCTGAACTTATATTTAATCCCCTGCACACGTAAAAATTACATCAGTATATTTCTCTAGTGCTTGTTAAAGTATAACATTTCTTGAGGGGAGTAAGCAGCTTGATATCCGAGTCCAGTACCGTAACCTCCGTAGATATTAGATCCCGAGTAGAGACCAGATCCAGTGTAGCCTTTAGTTGCAGGATAAAGACCGATATTTGATGCCCCGTAACCACCACTAGATCCCGGGTAGCCATATGTTCCATCAAAACCTTTACTTAATAAATAAGCCAAAGCGCCACCTAGTGCTAGAGCCAGGATTGCGTTCTTTCCACTTGAGGAGGTAGTTGTTGTTGATGTCGGAGCTAAAAAAAGAAAAAGAAAACAAGTCCAATATTAATGCTTTTAAAACAATGAAATAAAATTTAAGTCTAAGCTAAAAGAGAGAAATTGCTTATTTTTTGTTACGTACAAATGTACGTACGTCATAGTAGTTGCATGAGTGGACATATTTCTATTGATTGTTCATTTTGAACAATACCGAAATATCTATTAATTAGGAAGGGTTAATATGTAATCCTATATCTTACTTTGACACTTTTCCCCCGTAAAACCTGGGTTGCAATAGCAAACTCCGGTAGTGAGTTTCTTGTCAAAGTCGATAGTATCTAGGAGACAGAACCCGTTCTCTGCTGCTGTACACAAAGTGGACGCTCCAGGGGCCGCTGCAGGAACTGGACCACAACTCCCGCCTCCATAAGATGCCCATGTTGACTTAATACCTTTATAAATTGCAAACTATTGTTAGAAAATTGTGATAATAGGTATCCATAAGAAATAAAAATATTTGTGATATTGAGGTATGTAAGCTTAGAATTATGCTAAGAAGAAGAATACAAAGATTAATATAGATCATTTTTTTAATGAAAAAGTCAATGATACTGAGACGTCTTAAAACATAAGTTAAGTTTAGATTAGAAAAAAAAATTAGAATGTTTTTTTTCAAAATTCATTGATCGACTGCTTTCACTATTTTCGAATGTTAGTTTCTGATGAAAACCTTTTATAGATAATTTCATTCGATAATATGAGTCCATTTCTCCGATATCAATATTTCCATACATTTGTTTTCTATGAATTAACTCTTTGAAAGTTAATAGAGCTGATTTCTTGATCATCTACCGGAATGTGAATTTCGCAAAGATATAGGTCCGCAGCCATGAGAGCCCGTTATGCAAATTATCCCACGTTTCCATTCCAAATATCGTTAATGCCCTGGCATACTCCAGTACTTTATTGACTAGACAGTGATTCCTTTTAGTAGATTATAATTTTTTGTACTTGTAGTGGATAATAATAAAATCATTAGAGATTACAACTATGCCCATGTCAGAAAAGTAATGAAAAGTATTTATTTTCTTTTTCAACAAACTTTAGGCATCCAAATTGTTACACTATTAATAAATGAATAATTTGATATAAATATTAATACTCTTTATGTAAACAGACATGATTTCAAGCATAAAACATGACTTACATAGGAGAGAAACCAAAGCTATCGATATAGAAATGACGGACAGAATCTTTAGGTCCATGATGGGCAACCTACAATAGAGTAAAGTAATAATAGAGTTACAGGAATTATATACATACACAATGTAGTTTAAACTTTTTGGTCTTTTGTTGAAGAGAGTTGAAGAATCTGTGTGCTATATTTTAATGTCTATATATGGTGTTGTTCACGTCTTCTTAAACAATTTAAAAAAAAAAGAAATATCAAAAATATATATATATATATATATATATATATATATATATATATATATATATATATATATATATATATATATATATATATATATATATATATATATATATATATATATATGTTTAGTATATTTTTTATATTTTTCCTTGATTCATCCAAGAATTTTCATCAGTTGGCATCTTTAAAAAAACCCGGTACTGAACGCTGATTTTTTTTTGTCTATTAATTAATATCTGGTGACACTATAATCCCAATTTAGGAATATCTTGAAATATTCAGTACATGTAGGTAAAGTACGTTGCGTATATCCTTAAGTTAGAATTTGAACAGAATCGTGGGTATCAAGAGTATGACATACATCACAGATATCATACCGGTATGACTAAGCTCGACTTTCTCTCATGATTTAATCTTCAATGAATTTATATCATTTAATGTGATCACTTTTATCTCATATTTTCATTGTGAGAAGCTGGAAAACAAGGGCTATTCGAGACACTGCATTAAAAATGAATGGTAAAGAATCAGTAAAATAGAGTAAAATTAAACGCTTCATTTAAGCTGCTGTAAAACTTGATAAGAATCCCAAAGAAATATTCATTGAGATTTTTGTGAAAGTTACTGCAATTAATGCCTGTTTTATGGACACGAGATAGGGTGGATTTCGGTGAACAATAATGATATAATGGGCATCAAAAATGGGTACTGTCCTTGGCGACAAGGACTTAAAACAACCAATGTTCTGTTTGCAAAAATTTAACAAATTATCACTTATGATGTTTGATTGACTTTAAAACAAATATCAAATTTAATAGGCATTGGGGTTAGTTAACAATATTTTAAAGAAACATTTGACAGTAAAAAAAAGTACTCAATAGTCACCCCATGTTTTGAAAAATGAGTGAAAACATCGTGTAATAATATCTAAACAATTATTTTTTAAAACTCAGAAATTGTAGTTATCCACGTTTGTCTGAAATTCAAACAGATAATGAAAAATGTCGTATTGAATCCATTGCTTTATTACCCTTAAAACATTTTTACAATAAGATGCACTTGACAAAAACAGCAAAGATCTGTGAAAGAGCAAAGAACTACACGAGGACAAAGACAGTTTTATGCCATTTTCTCAAATATTAGCGGTCGTGTTGTTCAAATTCTTACTCAGGAAAGTAGTTCAATTTCTGTTAGAGTCTTGAAAGCAAATGTTTTTGCAAAAAATCAAAAGGATTTTGAGAGTTAGGAACTATGATTAGGAATCCACTACATTAAATTTCTTCATGACAAGGTCCAAAGCAACACGCCATGAAGAGTAAAGGAGTTTTGGGGATATACAGAAAGGTAATATTTTGTCACACAATACTATTCGCCAGATCTGTCACCTTTTTACGTTCATTTTCCAAACTTAAAAAACACCTTTCAGAAAGAAGAAACAAGTCCAGGAAATCATAGGATCTGCCATAATCCAGTATACGAAGGGCTATGCTCAAAAGAGGGTTCTAAAAACAATCAGACATTGGATAAAAATGTTACATGTTTAATTCAAGTAGAATATTTAACTTAAATCATTTAGATCACATCATTGAAAAGTGTCTCTTTTGCTTCTTTCCGAGCATCAGGACATTATTTATTGAACAGCCCTCGTATGGTGGCAACAGATAGAATTCTTTTACAAAGTCCAATAATTACATAGATCATTAAGTATGCTATTAGACATGATTTTTATTTACATATTTTTGCCATGCATGTTTCAGTTTCAGTTAGTGTTATGTCAATACTCCTTATTTCTGAATTCTCTATGTTTTAAAGTTATGAGCATGAAGTTAGACTTACGTGTGATTCCGTCTCCTGCCTCACATGAAACCCCTGTCCAGCGGGATGCCCTTCCTGTCTATACTATATATACTGCTAATTGAAGTCAAAAGTTCATGTAAATGACACATTGTAACTGGTCAACATCAATTGTATTATCTTATATAACTTGTCGTCATCGATAACCATGTTTGATGCTACATGTATTTTCAAAGTCCTACGTAGAATAAGAGTATCTTAACATCTTAATTAGTAATTATGGCATTTTGACAGCGTTATGTTTAACATGCAGTTTCAATATTTATAGTCAAAATATATAATTATCGAAGGCGGCACGTTATATAATATATATAAGAACAAAATACAATAGATTTTGACAAGTTACAATGTGTCAACATGTACCTTTGAATAAACTTTTAAAAACCATTAATGTATTTCAAATATATATATATATTCATACAATATTTTTAAAAATATAATGGAAATATTGAAAATGGTTCCTTTGACCGGAAGTTGGAATGATCTTTTAGTGATGGATTACTTAATTCATCATTTCATGACACCTGTCCCTAGTGATGGAGGACAATTTGAAAGATCATTTATGCCAGTGACAAAAATATAGGGTTCCGTAGCACTAAGAATCATGTTTTCTTCATGTAACACTTTTGTCCCGTCGAATAAGATATCTCAAAAGCCAAGGCTGTAACTTATTTTTTGAAACAAGGTTTACCATTTACCTGTTACCTACATTTCACGATGTCCAAAAATTGTTTTGAAAAGCCAAAGGTTGCTTACTGTAAGTAATCCTTATTTATATGATTTCATAGTCAAGATTCAATTCCAGATAATGTAAAATTTGTGTGATTCAGTTTTCCCCGCTTTCGCGACAGCGAGGGGACATTCAGTCTCACACTGACGGTCACAAAAACTTTAATCTTCGTCTCAACATTTGAATGAGAAGAGATACATGCATGGTTTTCATATTAATTTTGCATTACCTGTGACAAGACCTTTTCAAATACATGTGTACTATGATTTTGACCCCTGACCATTAAGTTTGAACTACTTTTCAAAACTTTTAACAGTACTTTAAATGTGCCATAACTTAAGTTTTGATGGCTTTCATATTAAACGTGTATTACCTGTGACAAAACTTTTCAAAATATAATATCATTTTTTACCCCTAACCTTAACCTTGAAGTTTGACCTACTTTTCAAGAACTTTAACCTTGGACATAACCTTTGAATGAGAGGAGGTACAATGTAGGGCCTTCAGAATACACATCTGTATTACCTCGACAAGGCCTTTCTAACTACACTATGGTACGTTTTTGACCCTTTGATCTTGATCTTGAAGTTTGATCTTTCAAAAAATGTTATCGTTCCTTAAAACTTTTGATAGAGAAGAGGCGGGGCTTTCATATCAGACATGTACTTTGCTTGTAACAAGATGGTTCCGAACGTGTTTTGATTTTTGAGCCTTGGACATTGAACTTCATGTTTGTCCTAATTAAAAAAAATTACTTGTGTGATTATTTTGCCTGACATAATTATGATGATGCGTGCATATTTGACACAATATGCCATAAAAATGGTTTCACAATCACGAAGACGCTGAAAGCGGCGTACCAAAATTCTTTTAATTTGCTTGTTTGTCCAATTATGGAAATGACAGAGAATTTTGAATATGGACTGGTATATCTGTACACTCCATATGGGTATGGGTCAGTGGCGCATTAATTTTAAGTTTTACTACAGAACATGTAAACCAATTCGTTTATTATCTTATAGACAAGTGTTACTCTACATTTTTATTACATTTATTAAGCAGAAACTCTGTTGTATAAACCCAGCAAAATGAGAAATAGAAAAATATACAAATGGTTCATATAGAGGTCCTAAACATAATGTAGCAGGATTATTGAGAGCGGGTGCTTGTAAATAGATTTGCCTGGAAAATGATTATGAGTAGGTTAAACTACTGATATATTGAAAGACCATAATTTATTAAATAATATTCAATGACGCAATGAAAGTACTAGTATTGCAATTTACTTTCACAAAGTAATTAAATTATGTAAGCAAGAAATATACATAGTCATGTAAAGTTAGCTAAAGTAGTTCCGGCTGCAGGCCAATTACAAGTGAACTCCAGATTCTATTGATGCAGTTATCAAAACAATTTTTTATCCAATCACAATCGATTATTTTATAGAAATTAAATGATATGAAATTCATAAAATGTCTTTGGGTCGATTGGTTCTTTTAATAGAGAGCTATATATCATTTTTATACATATAATCCTTTAAAGGTGCATGGACACAGATTTGAAGTTAATATTTTCTGTATAATATCGCGACTTATATATTTTGTAGTGTTGGCAAATCGGACGATTTTCAGTAACCGGTTACTCGCTTCATCTTCCGATCGAGTACCCGGTTACTCGGATGATTTTTAGTAAAAGTATCCACATCTTTTATTTATCTTATGCTTTACTTATCGGCAGTAGTAATACACAAATATACTTATATGGACACTATATTTACAATACACACGTGAAATATTGTCAACGAATTTTGATTTTAGATTAAAGAAAATAAGGAATTTGACACACAAAGAAGACAAATAAAGACGTTAATCACCGTCTCACAATTGCTTTCCTTTTCCGCCCCCGAAATATGTCGCTATCTAGGAGAATAATAATTTTCTACATACTCCGTAATTAATAGTTATTTTGTTGATATTTTGATTCAACTGCTTTTTCTTACAACCTCAAGCTTAATTTGTCTGTGGCGGCATTTCGTTAAATTATCAAATGAGTTAATGTAATCATAACATAGGCCTTCAAAAGTTGTATACCCCCCAAACAATCAAAGCTATTTATTATATAAACTGTGAAAACTAATCAAAACAATTTGATCCACTACAACAACCATGTATTAGATCAAGACTAGCGGTACCTAAAATTAGGGGAATGTGTAAGTAAATACATTTATAATTTATAAAACAATCATT